ATTGTAATATTTTGCCATAAAGTCAAAATTTTAAGGTGATACAAATTCCTGATACTATAGCTAATGAAGAAAAAGCCTCATTAGAGAATGGAAATTCATAAAAGGCAAACCTTAATGAGATTGGCATGATTTTTATTATTTCAAATTCCAAAACAAAATAATAAATATAAAATATAACAACCCCCTGTAAAAAAAAAAAAGTGATGAAATTTACTGTATGAGTTGGTAACTTGTAATATTTGTGTAAAAAAAAATCTACATTGAAAAAGTAAACATGCAAAAATCATAATTTTATTTGATTTTTGTTTTTTTTACTGGATAGTTACACCTTGATATTTTTAGATTATTAAATGTAAACTTTTGTAGAAAATTTTAGTTTTTCACTACAAATGAAACTAACTTGAATGCAAAGAGTATATTTCTAAGAACTTGGCACATCGGGTTTACGCTTATTTTTTCCTTTTCTTTATCTTATTTAACATTGACCCAGATGCCATAACTACACCATTTTGGGGCAAAATGCATCTTTCTCCATTGACGGTCATTCTGCAGCAGCCGTGGTAATATGTGAGCTGCATGCCTTGTCAGTCAGCCCATGTGCTTAAATGAGACTCTTTTGAAGCCTGCAGAAATGGAAAGGTGTATATGACCTTCCCCGAGGCATTTCTCCAAGAACCCTCTGAGAACCTTTAGCTTTTCCGCAGTCACACTCCTCTACCTCTCATCCTTTGTTCCTCTCCTCTTCTGTCTCGCTCCATCCCTCCGGCGATTTGGTCTGGGTCAGTTTGGGGCGACGGTCTGTGAAGTGTAAAACCCGTTTTCAGAAACAGCAGCCAGGGACCCGAAGTGACACAGTTCTCATTTGCTGCACAGCAAGGATGGCCCACAAGCAAATTCACTGTGTGCAAGTGAAAGTCAACAGTTGTCCTTCTTATACGACATCCTGAGAAATCTAAGGTAACAACCACAGGTGAATAGTGTAAAAGAATTTAACGCAGTAATTGACCAAGCGGCAACCTCCCGCTCGCTCTCGTGAAGCCAACAAGGAAGTGACTTAAACTGTAATTCATCAACTGGCCGCTAGAGGCTGGCTGCAAAAGGGAGTCAATCCCATAGACTCCCCATGTTAAAATGCCCAACTTTACAGCAGAAAAAAACATGTTTACAGCCTGGTTCAAAAAATGATTTTGGTTTATATAGCTAATTTTGCCCTTCATGACAACTGTGAGGGGGGTGAATTCTTTTATAAGTCATCCGTTTAAATTATATTAAGACTTAAATTTCAGCATATTTAAGGGCGTGGCTACTTGAGTGACAGGTGGATTGCCGCTGCTGTCACCACCGTCGAGCTAGGTGGGCGTGGTTTCAGCAACCAGCTCCCACCTTTTTGCCCATTTTCGATTATCCGGGAGTGACGCGCGGTGACGCGCTGCCAAGATGGCGACGGCCGGCTCTGCCCACTTTTGAGCTTCAAAAACCTCTTCAGGAACCTACGGGTGACGTCACGGACACTACGTCCATGTTTTTATACAGTCTATGTAATTGACCAAAAAAATTTAAAATAACTCACCCTTTTGTCAATCCAAACCTATATGACTGGCTTGCTTTTGTGGATCACAAAAGATATTTATAAAATTGTCTTGTGTTGTTTTGGACCCCATTCACTTTCTCTGTATGGACAAAAGCAGTTACAGTTCTTCAAAATATCTTCTTTTCACAGAAGTCATAGAGTTTTGGAAGGCCATGAGGGTGAGTAAATGACCGCGTTTTGGATTAACTGTCCTTTTAAACACTGTAAATGAATACTTTCATTAGCATTCTTACCGCGATACCCAGGATATCTGCATTCACAAAACAAAACACCAGGCGAATGCGTGTGACCTGTATGTGAAATACGAGCGAGTGGCAAAGAATTGAGAACCAGTTTGTGACCAAAACACCAAAACAAAACCAAAAGTGCATAGGCCTCAAGGTGATAAAAGTTGAACTGGAGACAGACATGTTCTTTACAGGATCCTTTAGGGAGCTGCAGACTCTCTCAAAGGTCTAAAATCGCCAGTCAGCCAAGAACAAAATGTCTTTCTGTTTTCTTGAAGCTTCTCAGGTACATCCCTCCTTAAAAACCCTCAAGGAGGTCAAAAAGCCTCAGAAGAACTTCTGGCCTACGGTTTGGCACTGATGTATTATTATTATTTTGCACCACAATCGATGTTCATGTTCCGAGCACTGGACTGGTTTGCTTCTTGGTTCAGCAGTTTGGTGATTTACTTTGAGATTTCGGTCCCTTGTTGTCAACCTAAGTACACTTGATAAATCCTCAGAATAAGCAGAAGTGAAGTCCATTTGGCCCATTTCAGGCAGTATATTTCTTTCTGGTTCGAATGCGAGGACCCAACTTCCAGAGTGGTGGACCATAAATTAATATCCTCAAGCATGTGCGGCACCATCTGCCTCTTTGAAACATATTCATCAATTTGGCCAATTAGCAGATTAATTGCTTAATTACTCCGAGGCAGCTGTGTATTTCTCACAAAAAATGCCAACAACGCCAGAACCAAGTCTTATCACAATCTTACTTCTTCCACAATTCTTTGTTTGGTAGCAGCTATTATTGAATTTCTGTTGCAAAGTGGGAACTAGTTAGTGTGTCGATAAATATAGAAGTTGAATGCACAACAATATGTCTTTGTTGACCGGTGTGGCCTGTGTGTGCTATTTCTGAGTATAAACAGCAAATTTACTTCAGTGCACTTGACCTAAACTGATGGCAGTTTTTAAACTCCCAAACTAAATCTGCATGAATTGATCCAGCAAGCATTAAGCAATGCTTTTGTATTGGTCGTCTTTGCATTAATGTAATTCATGCAGGCCATTAGGAATGTACAAACTCACTTTGTATGTCTGGTTGATGTTGGGCAGCAAACTGTGAGTGTAGATACTTTTCTCACTCTGCTCTGCATCAAAAGAGCGTTTGCCAACCGCATGTTAATTTTTCAGTAGTCTCTCATTCATTGATCTGATGGGAGAGTTTTTGTGAGTACATTTGTAATGACGGTTCCCTTGCTGCTTGTAGACTTAGGTTAAGTCAGGGATCTCAAAGACATTTGACAGGCCGTTTTCAGTGCCTTTTGACACTCCTGACCAAAGCTGAATCTGTATGCTGAACATTATTTGGTGCAAAGTGGCCCATCATTACAGATGTCCTTACAAAAGCTCTTATGTCAGATTGTCAGGAAGGGAAGGATAATTTGAGGGGAAAAACACAGTAAAGTATTTGTACTGAAAGCATTTGTGTTCTTTATTATCAATATTATATGTTCACAATGAATTAAAATTATATAATTTCTTATATTATATAATTTATTTATTATAATTTTTTATTTGAAAAATCAGCCTAAACAAGGTAATGTAGTATTTTTAATAATAATATTTTTGTATTATTTATAGTATTTTTTATAGTATTTAATATTTTAATATTTTGAGTTAGCTTTTTATTTTTGTCATCTTTTCATTTTAATCTTAGTTTACATTTTAGTAATTTTATGTGCTTTTGTAATTTTTTTTATTTTTATTTTTTACCAATATTTATATTTAGCTTTAATATATTTTAGTTTTTTAAATAATTTTAGTACTGCAGGTTAAACGTATTTACCGAAGTTATTTGCCAAGGCAACAACTTTATTTTTAAGTTTAAGTTTTTCATCCAATATTTGTTTTATTTTCACTTTATTTTGAAATGAATAACAATTTTGTTCTAAAGTTATAGTTTTAGTTAACGTTAACAACACTGGCACAAGACTGTAGTGCAATCTGACTTTTGTCAAAAGGGTTTTGTGTAGGTCTATTACCAGTGGTTAGTGCTTGTGGTGCTCATGTGGGAGATGAGGGTTTGAATCTAAAAAGCAACAACGCCAAGGAGTGCATGACATAAAATGCATACATTGAATGCAGTACAAGTCACTTTGGGAAAAAAAAGTGTCTGCCAAATGTATAAATGTAAATTTTCATATTAGCACCTATATTCAGCACCCTATATTACTACTATTTTCAGTTAGCACCCTATATTCAGAATCAATAAAATGGCAAAAACATTCTTTCATATCATCTACTGTGAGCAAGAATTCACAATGTAAGGGGAAATTATTTGCATTCTTGATCATTTTTCATCACCTAAGGCAACAAATGAATCCCTCTGAAATAACAAAAAAAACTAAAACATAAGATGCCTATGATCATACTGGTCTACTTTGGGACAAACAGGAAAACTTACTGAAATATGGTTCTGTTTAAATTGAAACGAAATGCTGTCTCAGTGTGCAGTGCATTATCAGAAAGAGGTCTTCATAATGAACGGCTATGGCACAAGCTCCATTATGCTTCAGTATTACACCTGAAACTGTCAACGGTAACGTGAACCTTCAGGATCCTGTCTGAATGTTGGAACAGATCGTCAGACACTTCTTTGAGCTTTTATTTTCGCAATCGCAGCCACACAAGCTCCCAGCATCCCCTTGTGAATATGTACAGGGATTGCCTTTCTTACTCTTTCTGTGCCTGACGGTTGCTTTTGTCTTAATCACACTCTCTTACTTTCTTTGTGCCTGTCTTTGACTGTTCCTTACTAATGTGGTTTTATTGTAGCTGTTTCTTGTGGTTCTCAATAAAGTATTGTTAAAAAGTGTGGTGTCTTTTCCCTTGGGTCCAGGTATCACATAACAGCAACAACAAATGGATCAATTCACCAAAAAATAACAGAAATCTTAAGCACACATCCTCAAGTGTTGTCATGAATATAATATTTTCAGAGGTTTAGGGAGAGAAATAAAGGATAGAAAAGAAACTTTTCTTTTTGTAGTGCTGGAAAGATAGACAAATTGAAGAAAGTTGAACACAAAATCCTTTCTGTTTTGTTTTAGCACACTTGACGTTCTATATATAGGATGCAATAAAAATTCACTTTCTCCTTTTTCTGTCTGTTTCTCTCTGTCTGTCTCTCTCAGGGTGATGATGTTATGACGGTTATCAAAACCAAAGCCCAGTGGCCCGCCTGGCAGCCTCTTAATGTGTAAGTTTCCATCACTTTTGTACTTTTACATAGGGCTTTTACATGCAATTTTCATGCACATCTCGTCAGTAAAGCCGCTCCTGTGATTAGTAGTAAATCTCCAGCACGTGCGTTCAGATGGAGCAGCATTTACTACACAGAGCCGTAGTTCACTGACAAGCTACACAAAATCGTGTTCAAAATCGCAGGCGATTCATTGGCTCTGTGTAGTAAATGCTGCTCCGTCTGAACGCAATTCGCATTCGATTTTTGGCACAGCCCTACTTTTACATTTAGAGAACAGCCTCAAAATGTGTTTTGACACTTTAGCCACACTCAAAAATAAATGAATGAATGTCATTGCATTAGCCTATATGACAAAATATCCCACCAAGTGTGACTTAAAGTGTCCAAATTTAATGGAGGCCACTGTATATTTGAAATATGTCATCGAAGAACCAAAGAATCTCCATATCCAAAAGGTCCTTAATGGTGTCATATATATGAAACTAGGGATGCACGATATTATCGGAACGTTATCGGAATCAGCCGATTTGAAAAAGTTTATGCCAATATGCCTAGCCAATAAGACGAATAACTCACGTGTGATAGTGATAAGATCATGTCAGCAGTGTGGTCATTTTTGAAACAAACTTTTGTCTGAATGATGCAGCAGCAACAACAGCTACCCCCGGGTCCTAATGTCCATTCAGTAAGACCTTTTATTTATCTAGGGGGTGCTGTAGGCCTACTTGTAATAAAATTAAAAGTAAAATACACAAATAACATTAAGATACTTGTTTTCTGTACAAGTAAAGCAGTAATTGATGCCATAAAATCACAAGTCTGTTTTGATTTAAAGGTGAGCCCGTTTTTGAACCATTGGTTTTGTTTCCAAAGCTTCAGTACATAACGGCACTTATGTCTGTCTTACGAATGTACTGCAAATGCTCTAAAGAATGCTGAATGCAAACAGAAATGAGATACAGCTCTCTGCTTGCAGCGCGTCAGTCACGCTTGTCAGGAAATTGAGTGAAACACACACAAACACACATTTTTATAAAATAGTACATCATTAATAGCAGTTCACTTCCACGATTTTGTACGATTGCGTTCATATCAGCAGTAAACCGTACCAGAGTTCACTTGAACCGTAGCCCAGACCACCCCTTTTAAGAGGACTCCGGTACGGTTCGGGGTGCGCACCCGAGTTCGGAAGACAGTGTTCACATCATCCAAACGAACCGAACTCTGACATCAATCGAACCCAGGTGCGCACCAAAAGTGCTAGTGTGAAAGCATCCTAAAGGTAGGGAGCTATAGCTTACATGAATAAAAATCACAAACATGACACTTGTTAATTAAATAATTTAATATATACAGATTAATTCATTAATATGTAATATATATTATGAAAATATAAATACAAGGAGCTCTAAAAGATTTTTACAATTTTTACAGCTCTTTTGCTTTAGACCATCTATTAATGTTAAATTCACAAATAAATGTTAAGGTTTCATCTGCTGTCAATGGAGAGAATTGGTGCGGTTTCAAAACAAAAGGAAATATATATCGATATCGGCATTGTCTATTGGCTGAAATTATTTGAAAAATATTGGCATATTGGATATCGGCAAAAATCCAATATCGTGCATCCCTATATGAAACGTTACCATGAGATTTTGAAAAACCAAAACATCCCAGTGTTCAATATTGATAATAATCAGAAATGTTTCTTGAGAAGAAAAGAAGCACATTAGAATGATTTCTGAATGATCATGTCACACTGAAGACTGGAGTAATGATGCTGAAAATTACATTTCAAAATATATGTAAAATATAAAATATATATTTATATATTTAAAGTTTTATGCCTTTATTTAGATAGGACAGTAGGTGGACAGGAAGTGAAGTGGGAGAGAGGGGGATGGGATCAGGAAAGGTCCACGAGCCAGGACTTGAACTCGGGACGCCCAAAGCGCAACAGCGCTACATGTCAGTGCACTGCACTAAAGGTGCTTTCAAACTTGGTTCGATTGCCTGGTCCGAACCCGAGTTCGACTGCTCCCCCTTCCCCCGCTGGACTGCGCTCATATTATTTTATTTGGGTCTGAACCGCGGCTCATTTGCGTTATCAAGCCAGCAGCTGTTTACCCCATTGCTTAGTAACGATGGCACAGGAGAAGGCGGCAAAATGCGTAGCTTTGCTCTCTTCACTTTTATATTCATATTTTTGAACCATTGGTTTTGTTTCCAAAGCTTCAGTACATAACGAAAATAAGTCTGAATGATCATGTGACACTGAAGACTAGTAATTAAGTCATATTTAGTAAGTAAAAATTAGTAAGTAATGATGCTGAAAATTACATTTTAAAATATATGTAAAATATAAAATATGTATTTATATATATTTAAAGATATATTTCAAGTTTTATGCCTTTATTTAGATAGGACAGTAGGTGGACAGGAAGTGAAGTGGGAGAGAGGGGGATGGGATCAGGAAAGGTCCACGAGCCAGGACTTGAACTCACAAGGCCATTGGCGCCAAACAAAATGTCTCATTTTAAAATGTTACAGTTTTTACTGTATTTTTTTTTCAAATAAATGCAGCCTATCAAAAAAAATTTAATAAAATTGTACAGACCCAGAAAGTCTTGCTTTCTCCTGGATGAATATTTTTTCAGTGGAAAAGAACAAGGCCTGATTCATGAAAACCCCTTTCAGCACCTGCTGGGTATGTAGATGTTTCTTCCCGCTCACTAACGAGGCGGTTAATATTTTATGTGTGGTTTTGTTTAGCGAAGGCTTCCGTTTTTTGATGAGAGTAGCATTTCCCCTGCGGTGCTTTTGCGATTGAGGTTAATGGCCTCCCTCCAGCTCCAATACATCAGGACATTCTCTTGACCTATTTTAACATCAGACTGTCGATTACCACAGCCAATTTACCCCATGAAGAGGGAATGGCAATGGCAGACGGTAATTATTTCTAACCATACGTCAAACATACAAGGTACTTTCCACCAATAGGGCACACTGTAGTATCCCACACTGTAATTTTTTTTAAAGCATTAGAGCCATAAATTGCCATTTTTTTGTGGTGAAACTTATTAGATATGTTTGATAAACTATTGTCTAACATAAAATTAGGCTAGCAAAGTAGTTTGTATAGGCATTTTGGTCTTTCCCTCCTCAGTTTCTTTATCTTCTTGACTGTATCCAACACTATTTTTAACTTATTTTATTTAGCAAAAATTATTTTATTTTATTAAAACCTTTAATATATTATATTATTTAAAAAAAAAATTTTTAGTTTTTGTATTTTATTTATTATTTTAATCATTTTTTTAGCTATGCCCCACACTTTGCCTGGAATGCATGGCTCTCTCTCTTCCTCTTTCTTCTGCTCTCAAGTGTGGGCTGTGCGAGTCATAAGGCGCTGGTTTAATTATGAATATTTAATATGTGTTAATCAATAGATCCAAGTAAAATCTTCAAACGTGCAGCCTTCTCCACTCAAATGGCAACAGTTGCTTTGGTGATGGTTTGTTATCAGGGCAATTAGTTTGATTAATTACCATCTGGATCCTTACAAATTATGCCTTAGCGCATAATACATGACACAGACTTCCTGTAAGTGTCATTATGTTTGTGTACAGTCCTTCCTCTGAAACAACAACTTTATTTTCGGATGACTACAGCTCTTCCGTTGTCTTCTCTCAGGCGTTCCTCCCCCTCGGCGGAGTTCTCGGTGGATCGAGCCCATCATCTCATGTCTTTCCTGACTATGTTGGGCCCCAGTCCGGACTGGAACGTGGGATTGTCTGGGGAGGACCTGTGCACCAGGGATTGCGGCTGGGTCCAGAGACTGGTGAAGGATCTGGTGCCGTGGGATGCCGGTACTGACAGCGGGGTCACTTATGAGGTCAGTTTTCACAGACTGATGACATTGTTACATTAGAACAGGGGTGGCGAACGTCGGTCCTGGAGAGCCGCAGACCTGCAGAGTTTTGCTTCAACCCTAATCAAACACACCTGAACAAGCTAATCAAGGTGTGAAGGGTTATTAGGAAGCTACAGGCAGGTGAGTTTTAATTAGGGTTGGAGCTGAACTGTACAGGGCTGCAGCTCTCCAGGACTGGAGTTCGCCACCCCTGCATTAGAACATACTGTGAGAACTTTAAGAATGGAGTCCATATACTGTAGGGTAGCATGAGGCAGTGTGGGTCATTGTGCATGCACTGAAGCTAGGTTTTCAGAACTCTTCTCTTCTACTGTATGTTAATCTGAGATCTGGTATTGTACCAACTGTAAACAGTATGACAAGACACCAAGTCAATTGCTTTGTTTTTCTTATTTACATTGAATTTTTGTTATAATTTGTGCAATGAATAGATGATTTTTCCTAAATATTTGATCGTGTTTAACATCATATTTTTAGTAAACTTGTTAATGCATTCAGTTCCAAGAAGATAAGATAATAGATTTCACAAATTGTGCAGATAATTAAAATGAATTTTAAATTTACACTCACAATATTAATGTATGCAACTGCACTCCTGCATTACTTGCAGAAAAAAACAGATTCATGCAAACACAGACCTCAGTGCAAATGACCAATAATTAAATAATTAAATAAAAAATAATAATCAATATTCAACTGTTCATTGTAATTATTATTGTTGTCGTTGTTAAAATAATAATTAAAAAATAAAATAACAAAAAAATATGATAAAAATCTATAATACAACAACAATAATAATATTCAATATTCAGCCTTTCAATAATAACAGTAATAATAAAACTGTTATTAAATAAAAATACATAAAAATGCTGGTAATGGTTATTATTATTGTTATTATTATTATTATTATTAAATATAATAATATTAAATATTTTAAAAAATTATCCACACTTTATGGACTTACATGTATAAATGTTTAACTTGTGGTTGATATTTCACTTGTTGAGATTTATTGATTTAATTACTATACAACTAAACAAAGATGCATGGGTTTGATTTATAAATAAATACTCATAATGGGTGTCTTTATTATTTATCTTTAAACAGGAGCTTGGATGGAGACATTTTTACAGAATGAAAGTTATAATGTCAAATTAAACAAAAGCTTTAATGGCATTGAAACCCATGAAATTTGATCTTCATTACGATGTAATGGAATAATATTTTGTTTTGCCCTGAAGGTTTTATGTGGAAATTAAATTGTTATATAAACAAAGTAAAAACTACTTTCAATTCATAGTGCTTCCACATTGTCTCATATTTAAATATTTTACTTAAAATCGCTTATGAATATACAAAATCCAAGTGTGCACTAGATAAATAAATAAAGAGAGGAAAAACAAGTGCAAATAAACCAGTTTCCTCACTGTGTCCTCTGTTGCTTCATATTTACTCAAGAGCTTTTCAGAGCAAACAGTATTAAGACTTTGCACATCCTAAATGCTAAGTGGAACCAGGACTTCACACGCTGCCCCCTGCTGGTACGAGACAGTCCTGAGTTGTTACACAGCTTAACCGAACAGTTGGAGCAGCAGTTAGTCTTTGTTTTGCAGCGTTGCTCTGAAAGCGTTGTGGTGGGATGCAAGTAACTGTCAGGTGACTCAAAGTGCAGAGGCAGGAAACAAGGCCATAAATCTCTCATAAAGGGAATATAACACAGTCAATGAATGATGCATATGGAGATGAAAGGTGGGAGGCCCTGGCAGATGGCATCCAAAAGTCACATACTCTACCTCTCTTTTTCTCTTTCCCTCCCTCCCGTTTCTTATGTATATCCAAGTCTCCCAATAAACCCAGCAATCCCCAGGAGCGGATTCGACCCCTCACCAGTTTGGATCACCCACAGAGCCCCTTTTATGACCCTTCCGGTGGCCCCATCACACCCCTTGCCCGAGTAGTAGTGGAGAGAATCGCAAGAAAGGTGATTTTAAAATCTGTTTTACATTTTTTTTTTATAATTATAGTATTTACATATGTCCTAAAAGTCCTAAGAATCAAATTACATTCATTTGATCAAAGTTTGAAGGCAGTACGATTTTAAGAAATTAATACTTTTGTGCAGCATACTTTTATACTGTTACAAGTATATGTTTAAAATAAATGCTGTTCTTTTGAACTTTATATTCATCAAAGATTCATAAAAATTGTATCATTGTTTCCATTTTAAACAATACATTTTTTAAAATATATTAAAATAAAAATAATTAATTTTAAATATAGCTTTTTCTCTCTATTTTTAAATTTAGAATACATTTGCCAACATCTAAATTTCACTTAATTAAAAAGTTACTATCTTTAAATTTTACACTAGTAATTTAATAATAATTTAAAGTTAAAAAGTCTTTCATCTTTAACACTAATGATGTAATAATAATTAATAATAACAAATGTAATCATTAGCAAATCTTTAATGTAATATCAATTTTAATACTGTACATTATAATGTTGTGATGTCTAAATTCATTTTTAAAAATTGTTTATTTTACTTTGGGTGTTTTGTTTTTAATTTATTTAGACAAAATAATACAACATATATTGGCCACTTATCAGTTATTGGCCATATCATTGAGCATGTGTTTTTGCGAATTTATTATTGTTTATTTCCTGTTTTTTTTTTTTAGCATTCAGTATGAACAGCTGTTTTGTTTAATATAGCTACTGACCCTGAATTGCTGAGTCATAAAAGTCCATTTGCTAAACAAACTGAAGCATTAGCTTACAAAAATATGTCAAAGCAAGCAGTCGTGAAACATGAAAACTCAGCAACACGTCTGTTATCCTTCAAATGACAGTGTTTGGAGGATTCTGTTCTAAAATAATCCACTCTGGAACTTATCGACATGAACCAGAATATTCCACACCAGATGTTTCGTCTCTTGCTCACAGCTGGGAAGGATCTCATCTCTAGGCTTTTACAATCATCTCCCCTCAGAGAATAATTTTTTTGCGTGCGGGGCTTAGCGTGATAGTGATCAGATGGCAAATGGTGGATCTTATCAGGCGCTGTGATGTTGATCCATGTTCTTCCAATCTGCAGGGAGAGCAGTGCAATACCGTGCCCGACACCATAGACGATATCGTTGCTGATATTGCTCAGGAGGAGAAGGAGGAAGGTGCGTATGGCTACGCTAGCTTATCCAATTTGCAGCACCTCATTTAAAAACATAGCCACCGGACAGTTTAATGAACAAGGCGGCCAGCAGGTATCTTAGAGTACACCTCTGTTCTTTCTGTCACGGTAAAGTCAAACAACAAGAAGATGAAGAAGAACAATATGCTTTACCATGGTGCACTTCAATTATGCTTGCTGGCTAATGCACTCTGCCAGATAATTACCTGTGGTTTCCCTCCAGTTTCTTGTGAGTTTCAGGAGTGGAAAGACAAGGACTGGAATGAGCAAAAGCTTTGCTACTTTTAAAGCTAAAGAGTGTCATTTCTATGCTACTAGCAGCTATTAGTCCTGCTCCGAGCTCAACTGATGTTGCTGTCAGGCTGGTTAGGGAATGTTTTGATAGCACCAGCAAACCACAGAAAGGAATAAAAACAAGGACAGAAAGATAGAAAGACACAAAGAAAAGTCAATGTTTATGGTGTCCCTATTAAAATGTACTCACCTTCAGGCCATCCAAGATGTAGATGAGTTTGTTTCTTCATCAGAACAGATTCGTTCTGATGGCACCCATTCACTGCAAATGATCCATTGGTAAGTAAGTGATGTAATGCTAAATTTCTCCAAATCTGTTCTGATTCTGTTCTGTTCAACTCATCAACATCTTGACTGGCCTGATGGTGAGTACATTTTCAGCAAATTCTCATTTTTGGGAGAAGTATTCCTCTAAGAAAAGGTTTAAAAGTGCTGCTGCTTTCCATGAACCGTGCAATGTCCTCTAATGGTCAATCCACTCACTCATTTCCACAGCAGACAACACTCCAGAGACGTGCATCTACTCAAACTGGTCTCCGTGGTCAGCCTGCAGCTCCTCCACCTGTGATAAGGGTCGACGGATGAGGCAGAGGATGCTAAAAGCGCAGCTGGACCCCAGCATGCCCTGCCTGCATACCCAAGACTTTGAGCCCTGCATGGGGCCGGGCTGCAGCGAGGAGGGTAAGCTAGATAACGCTGGTCTCCAGCTCTCCAGCACATATAAAACCCTTTGAGGCTGACGGATTTAGGGATCACTATCTCAGAGCATGCCAGGAAGGAAGGTGCATAGAATAAGGGAAAGAAAGAAAAAATGGAAGAAGAAGGAATAAAAATGTTGTGCAGAAAAGCGTGCATGAAGTGCTGAGTGGAGCAGGTAATTAATTTATAGTCTTGTTAGTGTGAGTAATGTAGAGAAATGCAAGGTCTGTGTTTTCAAGGTTTCAAAAACTTTATCCGACCTCAAACTGCTCCTGTGGAGTTTTATGCCTGCAATCTGCTCGAGCAGACCAAGGTATTGATTCCCTCGTTGGAGAGGTAGACGCTATAAACCATAACCATAAACTATATATTGTGGTTTATCGTTTAAAAGAATCAATAAGACATTTGCACTTTGGTTGGCTGGCCATTTGGGTCAGAGTATAAAATCTTGGTAAGTTAAACTGCAAATAATGTTTTCTCTTTTGAATTTTTGGCTGTCTTTTCTTAGATCTGTATATCGACACACATGTAAGGGCTGCACAATCCAATTCAAATCACAATGGCTGTATGGCCTTCTGTGGCCGCAAAAAGCTGTAATTTGATTAAGTAAATATAGTGCCCATGTGCTGTGGGTTCTAAATAGGCCTTATTCACCAGTGTGGCAGAAACAGGTTTTTTTTTTTTTCACCAAAAAAACCCCCACAGCATTTAAATGTTTAAAGAACATTCTATTTTATGGTATAAAAATATTCTAAAATGCTCTAAATTTTCTAAATATTCCAGTGTTTTCAGTATAATATACTATTGAATAAAAAATAATAATTTTACAATATTTTTAAATATTCTAAATATAATTTTTTTGATAGTATGTGAAATATTATTGTATAAAAATATTGTGTATTATAAAATATTTTAATTTAAGGTTATATGAAAAATGTTCTAAATATTCAAAATATTCCAATGTGTTTGGTATAATATGATTTACTATTGTATAAAATATTGTAATTTTTGAATATTTTAAAATATTCTAAAGATTCTTTTTTTTTAAGTATATGAAATAGTATATGCTGTATAAAATACTATAAAATACATTATACTGTATAAAAATATGTTCCAATATGTTCTAAATATTCAGAATATTCCAATGTGTTTGGTACAATATAATGTACTATTATATAAAAACTATTGAAGTTCTAGAATAATTTAAATCATTTCATTTTCTAATCTAACAGTAGCAGTAATGTTACAGTAATATGTAGAAATAATATAATGTGGACAAAAAATATTTATAAAATGATCAACTAAAATGGACCAAAAGTCTTAGTCCACTTTGAAGTACAATGTGAAGAAGCTTTTTAGCGCATTCAATTTGGGTCACCTAAAAAAGGTCTGAATTGTGTACTTTTAAAGTGAGGAAGCATGAATACCCTTAAAGAGTAACTTTTTATATTAGCAGCACTTTTTGTTGTGCAAAACATAATTTAACTAGGAGACAACAGGCATGACTTGCTAGTTTGTATTTTTTGCTGTTTTAGTTTGACTTTGTCTTTTTCTTTTCATCTTGATACCAAAGCAACAAATATGTGAGCTGTTCTAACATAGTGCAGCAAAAATAATCACTATAAGATTCTTAGACCGAATTGTACAGCGTCTGTGACATTTTCTGTCTGTCTACCAGTCTTTCTTTCCACCTGGCGACTGGTGACATTTTCTCTTTTTTTCCCTGTGTCTGTCAGCATATCTGCATCGACCCATCCATCTGCCTCATCTGTACCTCTCCATCCTCTGATCCGTCTGTTTTTCCACATCACGTCTTCATTCTGTCTGCTCTGATGTGAGGCTTTTAAAGATGTTGAAGGCGGTTGTTTCTCACCAGCACTCGCTATTGATTAATAGAACCTGCATCGCTTCGCGTAGACTCTCTTTTGTTTTTAATTGATGGGCCGTTAAGGGCCTGCATTGATTGATAATCCACCATCCCACTGACAGGCCAACACTGGGGCCATGTTTATTTACAGCTCTTATTAATGATTCACTTAGTTCTGCTTTATTAGGTAGTGCTTGCTGCTGGTCCCAAATGGGGTCTGCAGTACTACAATGGAGGCAAATCTATGGAGAGTCGCCCCAAGTTCATCCATCCCGTCTGATAACAAATCTATTTACAAGCTCTGCCTTAGAGATAATTGGAACGGCTGAGGTGAGATAAAGCATGGCTGGATCGGTCAATTTGATCACATCTGTCAGCACTTTATAAGTGGAGAATGGTGGAAGATATGAAAGATGAACTGTAGGGCTGTAATCTTACAGTCTGTCATACATAAAGAAAGAGGATCATTATATGAGCAGGTAACTGCACTGAATTGCTGTATATGGCGAAGAGGGAATATCTTACATATATCTTACAAGAGGGAATAACTTATATTTTATTGTAATTTAATAAAAATAATCACAGTAAACTAATTTTCTGGCAAGTGATATAGTTAATTATTATTATTATTATTATTATCATTAATAAATTGTATGCATTAAATATTACTTTTGATGTTAAACAATGTTGTTGAAGTTATTGTTATTATTATTATTATTATTATTATTATTATGAGATGCTTTTAAAACAGTACTGAGCTTTGTATACTGGGCATCTGTTTGCTCATACATTTAAAAACAATTAAACTACAAATACATTTTTGTAAAATAATTAAATAAATAACAATTTGCTCAGATTTCAATCATTTAAGCATAAATCTTTGGATCAAGCTTTTTATGAGAAATATAAATGTGGTCAAATGTATCTATTCACTCATCACCAGATCTCAGAGTGAACTTTTTGGAAAGATTTGGGACATACAGTACCTCATTAGCATATGACTGTGTTCTCTTCCATAGAGGCGTCCACCTGTATGATGTCAGAGTGGATCAGCTGGTCTCCGTGCAGCGCCTCGTGTGGAATGGGCATGAGGTCCAGAGAGAGATATGTCAAGCAGTTCCCAGAGGACGGCTCCAGCTGCACGCTGCCAACCGAGGAGACAGAGAAGTGTGTGGTCAACGAGGACTGTTGTAAGTTATATATATATATATATATATGTTGTGTTCATATTTTGATGAACATTCAGTACAAGTATTTAGTCAAATAACTATCCTAAAGTCTACACAAGTAATGTTAGAGACATGTTTATGTGTGTTTCAGCACCCAGTAGCTGTGTGGTGACCGAGTGGGCTGAGTGGGAGCCCTGCAGCGTGAGCTGTGGAGTGGGGATGAGGAAGAGAGAGCGCATGATGAAGATGGAGGCCTCAGATGGCTCGCCCTGTCGAGCGCAGCTGGTGGAGGCAGAGAAGTGCATGATGCCTGAGTGCAGTAAGTATGAAGCCACGAAATGTCAATTCAGTCAACTCAATCCAACACCCTCTCATGGTCCAGGCAAGATGCCCTGCTTCACCAGGCTTGATTCATTACCAGAATTCCTGTGCTGCTAGTCGATTTCTAATTAGACCTGCTTGTCACTTGCCCCGGGTAGGGCTGGATCAGCTATTCATTAGGTCTTATTTAAATTGAGGCATCAAGTTCAGGCTTGGGATTTTGTAGATAGTCATTGCTAAATCTGTACTTAATTTGGCTCCATCATTTTTTTTAAGACAAGACATACAGAAGCAGGTCATAAAGGCTCTGTAAAATAACGGGTAGTCACATAATATGACCTTTATTTATCTGCTAAACAGCTTTTACATTTGTAAACAGAAGTAGTATTTAAACGCTGTCCATTTCAGTTTTAATGAGTATTGCTGCTAGTCGATTTCTAATTAGACCTGCTTGTCACTTGCCCCGGGTAGGGCTGGACCAGCTATTCATTAGGTCTTATTTAAATTGAGGCATCAAGTTCACGCTTGGGATTTTGTAGATAGTCATTGCTAAATCTGTACTTAATTTGGCTCCATCATTTTTTTTAAGACAAGACATACAGAAGCAGGTCATAAAGGCTCTGTAAAATAATGTGTAGTCACATAATATGACCTTTATTTATCTGCTAAACAGCTTTTACATTTGTAAACAGAAGTAGTATTTAAACGCTGTCCATTTCAGTTTTAATGAGTAACATGCTTCTGATTGAACCATTGAAATATGATACATAATCACAAAATATAAGAAATAGTACATTTAAATATGTAAATATTCAGGAACTGCTTCTAAATTGGGGCAATAAATAAATACCAATACAACATTTATAACACACATTTATGTTCTATTACCAATACAACATTTGCTTGTTTGTTTGATTGTTTATTTATATTATTTATATTTTTCTATTTGTATTTTATTTTTCATAGCAAAATGTTGTGTATTTTAATACAATCTGCACATTAAATATTACATTTGATGTTAATTATAATGTTGTCTAATTTAACAACAAGTCAAGTAATAATAATGAGAGATTCGTTTTTAAATCATTTAAAGATGATTGATCTACAGTGGATGAGAAAGTATGCATCATGGCAGTTTTGGTCCGAATTCTATTTGTTTTATAACATTAATATTTTAAATATAATTTATTTGAATGGCTATGCAGTATAAATCTGAAACATATTCTGTAAAATATACTTAATATAATTAAAAAAAATTTTATAAACATACACCATCATCACAAGAAGTATTATTTTATAATATAAAAGATTTATAAGTATATTTTATATTTTTTGTCACACTTTATTGTAAGGTCTCACTATTAACTAACTATTAACTATGACTTTTGCCTCAGAATACTCCTAATTTGCTGCTTATTAGCAGTTAGTAATGTAGTTGTTAAGTTAAGGGATGCGGTTGGATTAAGGGATCTAAAATAAGGAATGGTCGTGCAGAATAAGACATTAATATGTGCTTTATAAGCACTAATAAACAGCCAATATGCTAGTAATATGTATGCTAGATAACAATGAGAATAGGTCCTTAAAATAAAGTGTTACCTTTTTTAAGCTTGCAAATTTATATTTAATATTGAATTGGGTAACACTTTATTTTAGGGTCTCTTAACTAGTTGCTTATTAGCATGCAAATTACTAGAATATTGGCCATTTATTAGTACTAATTAAGCACATTTTAATGCCTTATTCTACATGACCTTATTCTACATCCCTAATCCTACCCAATACCTAAACTTAATAACTACCTTACTAACTATTAATAAGCAGCAAATTAGGAATTATTGAGAGAAAAGTAGTAGTTAATAGAGAATAAGTGTTCCCTATTCAAAAGTTTTACCTTGAATTCCTATATTTATGCTTGAAAATCTTTAAGAGTTCATGTATAACCATACATTTTTGTTTAGTGTGCTTCATCAAATGACTAGTACTTTCATAAAATTACAAAAAAACTAGTATGCACTAGATTATGTGGATTGCAAGTATATGCCATATAAATCTAAAGCAGATTACAAATGTAGTATGCACTAGATACTGTGCACCTCTAATTTAGCATGCCTTGAGTGTATGAACAGTAGTAACTGTTCATAACTTGTGTACTCATGTGTGTAGACGAGGTGGTGTGTATGCTGTCTCCGTGGTCAGACTGGGGAGAGTGCAGTGTGTCTTGCGGGGTGGGCATGCGTTCCCGTCAGCGCATGCTGAAGACGCCTGTAGAGCCCAGCTTGTGTTCAGATGAACTCGAGCAGGTTGAAAAGTGCATGCTTCCTGAATGCCGTGAGTAACACACACACACACCTTTATTTATACCAAAGACTTTGTGTTTTCATGTAAAGCTAATTATAACTACTACAGACTAACCCTAATGCAATTTACCAATTGAAGACGTCCATAAAGGGAGGTTTTGTGATATTTAGTTCACAAAATTGTCCTCAAATTGTAGTATGTGCACAGAAACAAACAAATGGATGAAATGCTCCCTTTTTAATTCCTCCTCCAGCCACGGACTGCATGCTGTCGGAGTGGTCGGAATGGTCAGAGTGTAATAAGTCTTGTGGGAAGGGTCACATGATCCGGTCACGGATGGTCAAGCTAGAGCCTCAGTTTGGAGGCATGCCCTGTCCCGAGACGGTCCAGAGGAAGAAATGCAAGATCCGCAAGTGCATGAGAGGTTCCCGTACCAGCGACAAGAAGAAGAGACAGGAAGCTTCAGACAGGAGGAGAGCAAAACCGAGCAGGGAGTCTGTGGCAGAGGAGAGCTCAGGTCCAGAATTATTTAGTATTTACTTATTGCAAGTTTAGCTCTCTGTCAACCGATCATTCCTGGAAGCAGGATTTATGTTAATTGCTCATGGTTTGTGCAGCTGAATTTGACTTGAATTTGAATTTGATTTATCTGAGACAGTTATTCCGAAGAAGTCTTTGCAATCTTTCATCAGTATATAATAACTTTTCAAACTTTTCTTGGCTGATTTCACCTTGGTACAGAGCTCCTAAAGGGACATGGTGATGAAAAATAATATGCAATGGGACAGAAAAAACATTGTTTACTCACAACTTTTTGCATTGTCTCGTGAAAATATTCTCCTAAGAATATTTTGCATTCTCATGTAAAACCTGTGTGTTCCCGCGAGAGACTTCTGCACAGTGCTTCACTCTTGTACATAATTACTTGAGTAAGCTGTACAGAGCTCCAAAAGGGACATGGTGATGGGAAAAAAATGAGATTGAGGAAAATGAGGAAGGAAAAATTGTATTTTAATACTTTTGCATTCATTTGCAAAACTTTTGGGATCCCCCAGGAAATTTAGCTTTTGTTGATGAAAATAATACGAAGTGGCTGGCAAAACTGTATTTCAATACTTTAGCAAAGTTTCTCTATGGAACGCAAAAGTTTTTTCGAGCAAAAGCACTCTTTCTCTGTGGGAACACAAAATGTTTTGTGAGTGAACGCAAAAGCATTGAAAAAAATGCCAATTTTGTTCACAGTCCAATCAGTTCCAAAGGATAAAATCAAGGATAAAATTACTTTCCTTTGTATATTGATCCTGAAAAATCCTGATAATTAGCTTGTTCCAAAACCTAGTGAGCTGCCTACAGTGGAAGTATTTCAAGTCATCATACGTGCACTCTTAAAAGGCAGAGAACTAATGAATCTGCTTTGATAGATACTTTGTGATCAGACTCTAAAGCTTGCATTCGCATGTATCATTTATGGAGGCAATCCCAAAATGCATTGTAATTAGGTCTGAAACTTATAAAAATAGTTCTGTGTAATTACAAATGTACTAATTTACCCAATATTTGTGTGTTCTGTACATTTTAGGGTTACTAATGCATTTTAGGCTCATAACTCATGGCATCTACACTACTGTTCAAAAGTTTGGGGTCAATTTGATTTTTAAACGTTTTTGAAAGATTACTCTTATGCACACCAAGACCAAGTAAAAACTGTAGTTTAAGGAAATATTATTACAATTTAAAATAACTGCTTTCTATTTGAATATCTTTTAGAATTATATTTATTCCTGTGATCGAGAAGCTGAATTTTCAGCATCATTACCCCAGTCTTCAGTGTCACATGATCCTTCAGAAATCATTCTAATATACTGATTTGCTGCTCAAGAGACATTTCTTATTATCAATGTTGAAGTCGTGTTGCTTAATATTTTTGTGGAAACTATTTTTTCAGGATTCTTTGATGAACAGAAAGTTCAAAAGAACATTTATTTTAAATATAAATCTTTTGCAACATTATAAATGTCTTTACTGTCACTTTTGATCAATATAATGTATCCTTGCAGAATAAAAATATTAATTTCTTTCAAATCTTTCAATCTTACTGACCCTAAGTTTTGAGTGATATTAGAACAGCATCCCAAATCAATCACTAATAAGTTACCATGAGAATTAAGATGCATCCTAACAAGGCAAAAATCTCTTTATAAGCAACAAGGCAGCTTACTGTTTTGGAACAGAGCCAATATTTTTGTTATTGATCAAATTGCTCTCCTAAGCTCCCTGTAAATCTTCTGTATTGCTCATGTGAATCGATCAGTACATCCAATCTTTTAAAGCATTATTTTAAACAGTATTGCCTTGTATTCTTTCCTGATCTAGGACAGTCTCTCTGTATAACCACTAGGGGGAGACAGAGACTAAAGTTACGATACATAATTATGTCGTAAATTCCAAGTGGCATAACAATTCAATTGCTCTACAAACGTGGCAGCAGGATGAAACCTTAAAGGAATAGGTCAGGCAAAAATTCTGTCATTCACATTCATTTTTTTCTTCATAATTGACAATGAATGTCGACTGAATCTGTCATAGCGTCTTTTTTTGTGTTCAAAAATATATTTCAGTGTATACATATTTTTTTCTTTGTATATTTTGTCTTAGCTTAGGTTTTTAATAAATATCTGATTCTGTGTTTTTAATTGGTTTAGATCTGGTTTTAGCAAGCTGCCAAAAATGGTCTTATAGCTCTGTGAGGCAAGGATGTGTCATATTTAGGTTGTTTTTCCTTAGCTTATTACACTTTGGTAAAATCACAAGCGTCGAGCACACGGCAGTGGTGTACATTTATTTAGGTTTGAACTTTACACCCCGCGCCTTTTAAACCTTTTATGAAACTCCTACGGTGATTTAGCTTGACAAGTGTGCGGTAAACGGCCCAGAGGCTTTATACTCTAAACACGGGAGATTTTCCTCTCTTCCTAAACATGATGGGAGCAATTTATTGTTAGAACACATCATGTCTCGGCTAGCACTGATTACTGAAATTAAAGGGGTCATATGATGTTGGTAAAAAGAACATTATTTTGTGTAGCCCAGGCTATTTGGTGTAATGAAATGTGTTTATGTGGTTTAAGGTTAAAAAAAACATTATTTTCCACATACTGTACATTATTGTTTCTCCTCTATACCCCGCCTTTCTGAAACGCTTCGATTTTTACAAAGCTCATCAGTCTGAAAAGCGAGGTGTGCTCTGATTGGCCAGCTATCCAGTGCGTTGTGATTGGCCGAATGCCTCAAGCGTGTGATGGAAATGTTACGCTCCAACCATACTGTGATGCCCTGTCCGGCCGGAGCCACGAGACAAAAACATGAAAACCCATTATAAACTAAGCATTTGTTGCATCCAG